AGAAGTTAAAACTGTTAGGAAAAGACCCCTGAGATCTTCAGGTGAAATACATTAAAATGTGTTCTAATAACAGAGTACCTGAGATCTCATAGCTTTATCATGCCTGCAACCTAGTTAGGTTTTTTCTACTCATGTTTATGATGATATGTTATGACATCTGCAGAAACTACTTAAAGCAGAATCTTACCATAGATTAATGAAAAAATATATGAATTTTACTGTAGACCATATTAAAAAGAAAAAAGCCTCAAATAAACAATATGGCCCTAATCTGTGTTTCTATAAAGTGAGAAAAGTGACTAGTTCTTTCTGTCAAGACATTGCCCATGAAAGGAGGTGAAGATTAGATAGTTATTCTTTTAGTGCTTAAAAATATATAGTGCAGTATAAACTCAGCAAGTACAAGGATAGAATGGAGTTAAAATTTTTGGAGGGGAAAGACACATGCATATACTGTCTGCAGTATCCTAAAGCAAGTATTTTATGAAGATACACTTACTTATTTCAGTCATTGCATAAAAAGATAATACCATGTCTTCCTTTTGAAGAAAAATACGCTGGAAAATATTAGTAATTAACCTGAATGGAGTGTATCACCTCTGGACGTGTGCAAAATGATGAAAAATAATGCAGACAGCAATTAGAATTACTTCCCAAAGCAACACTTATGTCATGGTAATTAAATATATCCTAGAAGCATTAATTAATCCTATTCCCCACATAATTTTGGTTGTCTTCCCCCTTTCAGATCTCCATCAATTCTCTTTCTAGCTGTTTCAGTTTTTCTTTCCATCAGTTCTGCTTTTCCTGTGACTTCCTACATGCCACAGCTTTATCTTCCAGCACTAGAAGGAGAAGTAGCAGAGCTGTTCCTCAAAAGCTGAGTGTTAAAATAAGGAAGATTAGCAAAGAAGACTTTTCCTCCTTCTCCCTCATTGTCCTGCAAATATCAGCTCGTGAGGTGGAATGAGAACTCTCACCAGTCATTTTCTTTTCCCAAATATTCTCTCAGGAGGCAAACCAAAACATTACTTAATTATACACGTAAAAATATCTTGGCTGTTTAATTTTTATCCAATAACCTGGGTTTTTCAGTCATAGTGCAATTAATAGGAAGTATATTTAGGTAGAATAGGATTTGAGATTATACATAGGTATATATATAAACACATAATACTATTGTTCACACCATCAGCAGATTTTATTCTGTTTGTTCTCATCCTCTTCTTCCTCTAAATTTTCTTCAGTATTTCATATAATACTAAAGATATAAGGGTGGAGTTTGGTTCTTAGCAACAGGTAGGAAGACGGTGACTTTTGGATGGCTGAGATGATTCAATATTCTTTTAATACAGGGCTAATTTTTATTTTTTTTTTTAAGCGATCTGTAATTTATACCTGCCTCTAGATCTAAAAGGCTGACTGAATTTACATATGAAACTTTATAAAACTGCCTTTGAAAATCTTGGCTCTTGTAGCTTTAAAACTCAAGTGCAAATTGTTTTAGAGCTTTTGCAAGATACATACTACTTCCATTTTTGGTAGAATATTTTTTTTTCATAACATTTGGGAAATTAGTTTCCTTTATTGGCTGAACTGTGGAGTGAAAATTAATGCATTCTTATATTTAAAAACCCTTACAGGATAGTTGCACTTTTGGCAATGATTCTGTGGCTTGATAGAGTTGTTTTTTGGAATTAGTGACTGTGCATCACTATTATCTCTTTTTAACAGAGATAAAATTTGATTAAGCTGAAGGAGACTTGGAGGTACTTGCATTTTTCAGAGAGATACTCACTCCTATTTGTCCAAGAAAATGAATAATAAAATCACTATGTTGCTTGTCCATCTAAGGGTTAGGTGAAGAGTTAGTAGTAATTTCTATAAATCTCTGAAGAGTATGATGCTTATACAAATTCAAAGTCCTTTCTGTCTGTGATAATAAAAGCTGCTGATGTGATGCAGAAGGAATGCATACTCTCACTGACTTTTTTTTCCAGACAAGGTCTCTGCAAAATCCACTGTACTATGGTTGGTTGGTTGGTTGTTTTTGTTCCTTTTTTAAAAATCCTCAAATAAAAATGTAAAAATAGATTTGCGTAGGGCATCTCCTCCAATAATTGGTTATGTTTCAGCTTTGAAAAAAAGCCAGTGGGAAGCTTGCAGACAAATTGAAAATGAAACTATTGTTCATATTTATAATCCTGTTGATTTTTAAGCAGCCAAATGTGCTTAAAGTTGCCACCTTCCCTCTGTTATGTCAAATTCTCCTCACATCTTTGTTTTACTTAACAAGTCAGGCCTAGAATAAGTAAAAAGCAAAACAAAAAAATCCTCTCTGATCTTCCAGTAATCTATACCATGGAGACAAGCCAAAGGTGACCTATTTGTGTTTAGTAACCCTTAATGTATTCTTTTCTCCATCAAATTTGTCCTACAGCTTTCTGTCATATATCAACTTTTAATGTATTCACACTTTCAGCTTTGTTTCTGCATGGTGTGAAAGAAAACCTCTTCTTGTCTGTCCTGAACCTTGCATGGGGATGTTTCATTTGATACCATCCTGTATTATAAGGGAAGCGTCAGTGTTCGTACCTTATCTTGCTACTCCTGATTTTGTAGTCTTGTATCTTGGCTTGCAGGCCAAGCAGACCTAGTCAACTGTTTCTTGCACCAAATGTGTTTCACACTTTGGGTCATCTTGTCTTTCTCTTATCCCTTTTTAATTTCTTTCATAACTCTTTTTAAAACAGGAAGAACAGAACTACACACAGTGTTCATTGTAGTGTGCCTCATGAGTTAATAAAATCTGTGATTTATGAAGATGCTCTGTCCTCCCTTCCTCTCCTTGCAATTTCTAGCCTTCTATTTACTTTCTAAACTAACTTATCTGATGTTTTTATAGTATTATGCTAACCCCAAGATCTTGTTTCTGAATTATGTCAGTTCTGAGTTCATGTATTTATGAGTATGTTGAACAGTACGGGACCCAAGGATACTTTTAAATCTTCAAAAGGAAATTGCTAGATGAGCAGCTGTAGAATTTGGGATGTGAGAAAGTTAAAAAATGCTTTAGTGTGTATAAACCATGTGGTTTTGTTCACGTGATTATTTCTGCATGTTTCACAGGGTAATTTTAATTCAAAAACGTTATATTGATATAAAGCATACAACAAAAATATCTGTTATGGATAGAGCATACATTCTACTGAGTATTCCAATGAAGTAAGCTACCAATGAGGATTACTCTAGGATAATATTTTGCCAAAATAAGTCTTGCATTTTTTCTTAATATCAAGAATCATCCCACCCCGCCCCTTAAACAGAAACAGTTTAGTACTAGGGAAAAATGGTATTGCTGAATGAAAAATGGGAACAGCAATGCACTGAAGTCTTTTGGCTAACAACTGGTTTAATGAATGGGAAAAAGTAGAGAGATTAAGTAGTAGGAGTGATGAAAGATTTATTGAACTCGCTTTATCTGGAAAGATTAATAGAATAGAATCAGGAGGCCTGCTAGATTTTGAATGAATTAGACTTAAAGTGCTTAATCTTCAAGTACTAGTGAACATTTAGTGAACGTATCAGCATATTCAAAGAAAGAGGCAAACATATCTAAAGATCCTCTGTTCTTTGAGATTGAGAACGGACACCTGCTGGTATGATCCAACATTTATATGAAGGAATATTGGATGTGGGATGAAGGTGCTGCTAACAAAGACTGGGAATCTAAAGGTTTAAGTTTTTGTGGTGTGAAAAAAGGCGAGCAAAAGTTGTGTTTCCCTCTCCCCTACCCATCAGAAAGACTTGTACTGATCGCTTGTGAACACCAGCAGTTCTCAAAGCTGTTTGTGTTTTGGTTTGTTTAAATTGCTCTCTCTTCTCTATTAGTTGAATAATTTGCTTCCTCCTTCTCTATAGACAGTTATTTTGATTTTCAAACTGGGACTAGTGCTGCTTTTCCTTATTGCATGAGAACTACAGAATAAGCCCCATCATAAGCTGCCTTCTCCTCATAGCTCAATTCCTTGTGTTCTTTATTACTTGCTTGTACCTCACCCACATTTGATGATTGATTTAAGCTTTTAACTCAGTCTCAAAATGCCTGTGCCTCCTCCACTCAGAGCCAGACTTAATCTTCCCTTTATGGTTGGAATCCACGTGGGCTTTATCATCATATTTTTCTTGTAACCTTTCCACCAAGGGAGATTTTGTTCCACTGTAAGGTCTTATGTTGTTCTAATTGGTATGGCTGACTTGATAATATCCCAAGGTTCAGGGTCATACAGCGCTAAGCACATTGCAGAAATGTGCAGTAATGACAAAGACGGTTTCTGTTGCAGTTATTACAGCCTCTTGACAGTAGGCCTCCCACACTGGATTCTGAGGTTGCAATTATCTTTCCTTTTCTTACTTCTGTTTATCTACTTATATAGCATTCTTTATTGCTGTTTAAGCTCATCTTATGATGGGAACTTTTTGGGATGGTTTTCACGTAATTGTGAAGATCAGAGGTTCAGTAATAGGATGATGTTTAATTGGTGAACTTGAGCAAAACTTTCTTGGATAGTTTATGAGAACTACTTCTGTGATCCTTGTGGCCTGCCCATATCATTAAGTTCTCATTGTTCATTTATAGAATAGTTGTCTGCTAGAGTTTGGGACATAAATTGAAGTTTGTGCTGTAAAGGGATGTTTATTTATTCCCAATTGCTGACTTCCTTTTGTGGGGCTATGACAGCTATGCAGTGTCACTAGTCTAGGGTCCTGTGTATGCCCAACTGGTTTGAATTTTAGGAAGGAGTACACTATTCCTGACACTATACTTCAAAAATAGTTTTTCTCTCCAACTACTCATGTAAAATTCCATATATAGGAAGAAGCCTTCAGAAAATAAACCAAGAGTTAATGCTACCTGGGTGTACAGCAGGTGTTCGTTGGCTGAAACCATGTGTATATGTTCAAGCAAAGGAGTTCATTACTTTTTTGTCTGTCTCTAGGAATCCGGAAAGACCGCAGAGGTGGGCGAATGATGAAACAAAAACGTCAAAGAGAGGAGCAAGATTCCAGGGGGAACGGGGAAGCTTCTACAGAGCTGCGAGCTCCCACCCTTTGGACGAGTCCACTGGTGGTTAAACATAACAAGAAGAACAGTCCGGCCCTGTCCCTGACGGCAGAACAGATGGTCAGTGCCTTGCTGGAAGCTGAGCCACCCATAGTTTATTCTGAATATGACCCAAATAGGCCGTTCAACGAAGCCTCTATGATGACCCTGTTGACCAACCTTGCAGACAGAGAATTAGTGCACATGATCAACTGGGCAAAGAGAGTTCCAGGTAAGGAAAAAAGCCCCAGTGGACTATAAAGGCCTCTACATGACAAACCAATAGCAAAAAGACATACCATTTTTCACACTACATATTCTAATTTCATGTAAATTGTTCACTTACGTATAAATACATAAAAAAGATCAACAAGTTTATGTTATACTGGTTGATTAAAAAATACATTGCAATGTTATTGACTATTGAAGAAAGATTTATTCAAGAAAATATATTTCCCCATGCTATAGAATATTGGACAATTTTTTATTGCAAATACATTTTTTGGCTAAAACCCAGAAAAATTAAAGGTAAAAGCAGGTTACTAAAATCCATATCTAATGTATTTGATTGAATCAAATTATTTTAATTATTTAGATCCCTTTTGAAAAAAGCGTTACTCTCATGTCTGTAATGTAAGCCATAAATTCAGCATCACTACTGAGCCCATAAGTATTAATATTATTTATTTAATTGCAAGTTTACCTTTTTGACCATAAATTACAGATCTTCGATTAATTTTGGGTCTGAAAACCAGAGACAGAATATAAATTTTTGTATGAAAAGTTTTTCGTACTGGAACTAGATGTGTTTTTCATTTCGGTGCATCATGGTTGCTGAGCTATGACCCCTCTTTTCTGGAAAGGGCTTACAGAACTGTGGGAAGTATGTAACATTTTTGGTTGAACATACGTTACACATTCATTCATGTGGTTTAATTAATTTATACCAATGAAATGAGAGAGTGGTTTTGTAATTAAAGTTCATAATCTTTTAAAATTTCAGTCTACAAGACTACTTTTCATAAGTTAACATTTAAAGGTTTATTAGAAATTTATTGAGCATTTATTGAGCAAAACTTTAGTTTTGTAAAAATACCAGCTTACATGGTAATTTATAATTCACTGGGATTCTGATCTCTTGATTTTTTACTGTATCCATTTATTTCGTTAAAATTATGTAGCTGCTTTATGAAGGAAGAGAACACTACCACAGCTCTCACTCACATAGTGCATTACCTCAACATCTTTACACCCTGGTTATGCTATTTTTCTGTTTTCCTTCACTTAAACTTGGCAAGACACTTCCTGGTAAATCAATAACCCATAAAATCTGAGACTTTTCCAGTCCTCATGGGTTCCCTTTTTACCACTTTTCACATGTCACTCTGTGGGTTCCAGCTATTATCAATGAGAACCTGTGAGTGTTTCATTTCTCATCGTATCTTGTAAAAAATCACCTGAGAATTTTATTCTTGACAAAGTCACAGTGGTTAAGGCCTGATCCACAGTCTGTTCAAGTCAAGGGCAGGTTCTCCTGTTAATTTGGGTGTGCTTTGGATCGTGTCTTTCCAAAATGCTTTCAAAAAATAAGCATGTGTCCATTATGTTAAAGCTATTCATTATCAAAACAGTTAAATTCAAACACCTTTCTACTGATTTTAGAGATATAATTAGTCTACGTCTGTTAAAGTCTATTAATTTACATTCAATGTGAATATAGCACATTCTGAATTCATTATGTTGTCCATCTGGAAACATCTGTCTTCTATGATATTAGATTTTGATAGTTAATATATTAATGAAAATGTGTTTAGATACAAAGAAACACTGTTAGGGAACTCGGATCTGGTTTCTATTCAGAAATTTCTCTAAAACTGCTTGTCACAAGGAGACTACATCTGGTGAATATCAAAAAACTGCTTGGTTTACCAACTATGTCCTTTATTTCCTAGCAAGCTTCTGAAATTGGAAAATCAAATTTATAAGATAATCAACTATTCGTGTATGTCCAATGTATTTTACATTTAAATAAATGTGCCTGTTACCAAAATAGCTCCTAAGGAGAAACTAAGACAAATTACTATGTACACGCATTAATATGTACTGTAACAGGTGAGTTTTGGTATAAATTACTGGTGAACTTCAGTTAAGAAAAAAAAAAACACCACCCAAAATCCCTTCCCGGTCATAGTTTTATCTCTTAGGCATTGTACAAACAATCATACTAAAGAAAAATCCTAAAGCAGGAGTCATGAATATGAATAGTTTGGGGATACTGAAAGTGCTAGAGACCTAGATGGTTCTTGGTGTTGTGGCTTGGAGGTTTGTATATGTGACTGAATGGAGAAATTAAAGTATATTAGAAAGTTGATTTAAGAGAATTCAGGCCCAATTGTTTACCTACCTCTAAAATTGGGTTATCTACAGCATTTTGAAAGTAAGAATTTTGGAACTAGATTCTTTTCTTTTATTTTTTTTTTTAATCTCTCATTTTTGTCCCTAGAAAAGTTTGAGTGTTCCTAGTTCTTGATAATAAATTTTAGAATTATTGATCACCTTTCAAAGATAGGGTCTTTCATTGGACTGTTTTTCTGTTTCCTTCTGCTGGAATGTACTGGCACTAAAGGTATATTAAGAGAATATGCCTGGCAATATAAGTTATATTTTCAACTCCTCAGTATGTTGCCTTTGAATACTTCATTATTACTAGAAATTATGCAATACTGCTTAATTAGAGAGGATTTTCGTATACTTTATGCATAAACAGAGGAACCCTTTTTTCGTTAGGTGAATTATTTTGTGCAACAGCACTGTGGGATTCCACTCAGTTATTTCTCAGCTAATTTACTGAGGTTTCAGGCTTTACAATCAAGGGTAAAAACCATCTTTTCCTCAATAGTGAATGTGCTTTTTACCAGTAGAAAAAAGCAGTTGCAGGAAACAGCCTCTCCTATGTACACCTCTCGAGCCTTGGAAGCATTGCAAAAGTTAGTTTAGCTAAATGCAGGCACTTAGGTCATGGAAAGGAAGAAGAAAAGTCAACACGAGTGGTGGAGTTGTAAGCATATTTGTTGAGGAAGGAAGAAATTGATATGAACAAATCAGGAATGTAATGAAGCTACATCTTACTTGTAAGCATGAGAAATTTCAGGGATATTTGGGGTTTATTTTGTTGTGTAGGCTTTAAAGAAGTGGGCATGTGTTAAAGCCACCAGGAAAGACATTGTTTTTGTCAGCCAGTCTTTCTGATGATGTAAGTAGGTGTGCATGTGGGAAGAAACAGCTGATTAGATGATGTACTGGATAGAAGTGAATCTATCCTACAAAAAGGATTAATGAAGATTAATTTATGGTGGACTGCATACTAGAATGTAGGCATGAATCTGTTATAAAGCCATGCTAAGGACAGTCTCTAAAATAAGGTACCTTTGCAGACATGCCCTGATTGGGAAAGTGAGAACTGGTCTAAATCGTTATTATGACTTGCTCAGCATTAGTACAAACTTGTTGTAATTGACTCTGCAATCTTGGTGGTGTTAACAAATTTCTGGGGAATAGTGAATTTGTGGCAACTTCTTGTGCATAACATTAAAAGATTATCTTCAATATTTAAGTATGGCATGATTGTTAACTGACGTCGTAACAAATTTCTCCCATGACAATGCCATTCATAATATGCCAAGTGCATAAAAGCTTGTTTTAATTTTCCTTTGAAACCTTGGCCACTGATACAAGTGTGTTAAACAAAAATCTTGTACAATTTCCTATGACATATATAAAAAACTCAGGATGCCCCCCAGGACTTGGTCTTTACATGGTCTAACAGGTCTTATGGCTTGAGTCCTTCCAGAGGGCCCCTATGAGACACCAGTGGTACCTTCTGATTACCCCAGCCAGCCGGAATAGCAAGCAGCTGCACGTAAGGGCTGCAAACAGGTTGTGATGGGCTAGACTTTACATACGTGTGTAAATTGAGCCTTTTACCATTTAACTGAGGCAAATCACTAAAAACCACATGTAGGCAAGGTATCAGCATAGATGAGTAAATGTTCTGCACATTTCTGAATCATGTATTCCTGAAAGATATGGCTTTTTTCTTTCTTGCTTGTTTCCATAACATCTTGGGGATGTAGTACCACCTTCAGTCTCATAGAATGAGTTTTTTCAGTTTAATTGATTTTTATCATGGTCTTTGATGCAATAAACAAAACCGTTATGTATATAATTTAATTTGGACTACTGTATTCTTTAAAGGAAGCTGGTATTTTCAATGTCATGGTCGATAATTTTTGTTGTGCAGAGGCTCTTGTGATGGTAAGAGACACTCCGAGTTTATACAGTGAGCTCATGGTAAAGCGTGTAGCTTTAAGAAAATTTTGTTGCAAGGGTGAAATCTCTGGCACTGCTGCTACAATCTTGTATAACTATTTACTACAAGTACAGTAGCTGTACAACTTAATAGCCCTAAAATGGTACTCTGGGCATACAGGCTTTGAAGTTTTGAGATGATTCACAGTGCTGTACTTATTTTATGGCTTCATGAACCGAGGAGATAAACATTTTGGCACCGATTTTTTTTATTTCAAAGCCACAGAAGTTGCTATTTTCTTAAGATATTGTTTTCCTAGTTGACCTTTTAAACTGCTGTGTTTGTTAAATTAAGAACAGTGTGTAAAGAGGCCAACAATAGCCACAGTTTTACACTGCACTTCAGTGACACCAAAACTTGGGGAAAAAAAAAATTTAAATAAGTCAGCTTTCAGTAGAAGGAAAGAAGTCTTATACAGGAGTGTGTGTTAATAACCTTAGATGTCTTTAGGTGCAGGGCAGTTTAAAGAGCATTATGGACAGTGATCATCCTGGTAATAACTCACTTAGCTTAAAAAACTGAATGGCTTGCAATTCCTGTAATAATTTTTAATAAAAATTTGAAAATGTCTGCTTTATTTTCTCTTCTCCTTTCACTAATGGTCTTGCTGTGGAGACTTGTAAAATCTTATTTAAAAAAAAACACACTCTTTTGCTGATCTATAATATTTGTTTTCCCAGAGATGTCTTAGTTTCTTTGATTGTGGAAGTGAATATTTTGAAAAGCAATTAATACAGACATCCAACACCATCCATTTATTAGCTCAGTACAATAATTATGTTCTACTCTAGGTGATTTTATTTAAAAAACTACCTTCTTTAGAATGGTGAACTTCAAATACATATCTCCATTTAAATATCCCT